GGGAGGAGTCGGGTCCTGCGGACGTCAGCTACCTCAACAACTCCTGAAAATAAACTTCACGAAAACAGCAAACAGCTCCACTAAGTCTCCGGAGCACCTGAATCTGCACACATGGTGCAGGGAGTAAAGTGAGTACTTCCAACTCAGTGAGTAATAAACATATATAATGGCTGAAAGTAAGAAATCCCGAAATATTACAATATAAAGCTATAATCAGCGATTCAGCACATAAAACGGTGGGACAACAACAATACCAGGACAAGTAAGACAAATAGGTATAAATGCATGAATGCAATGCAATGCACATGACCGCTGCGGCGCGCAGCCCGATCCATTTGGGTACCCGCGCTCATTGTGGGGGTTCAGACTCCGGAGGGGCTCCTACAGCCCAAGCGCAATATCATCGTAACATTCGCTGCGGCGTGCAGCCCGATCCACACTCAGTCCAGATATATATATGCATGCAAGCCACTCGGCCACAGTCAAATTGTTCATTTTTAGTTTCAATTATTAGGAATTATAGAGCTAAGTGTTTAAACCATTATTTATTTACTAAACATTTCGAGGCAGTGTCTAACTCAGGACTGATATCATGAAATATGCTAAGCATCATGGAAGCAGTGATAAGGATCCCTGAAGGATGCAAATGATAGGCACAAAGCCCCAAACATATTCATAAAATCCAAGTACGATGATTACCAAACAATTTCTAGTCAAGAACACAGTACGAACATCAATCGGAACGGACTAGGTCACAATCCCCAGTCACAATCGACCCCGCACTCGTCATAGAGTACGTGTCTCGCCTCAATATAGTGTCACAATGTGATATACCGGGGTTTCAAACCCTCAGGTCATCATCTACATTTATTACTCACCTCAAGTCGGCCACAAGTCTAGTTCGCTATGCCTTTGCCTTTCGAATCAACCTCTTCGCACGCCGAATCTGATTAAAACACAACGAATACATTACAATAGGCTAAAGAAACATAACCCAATCGAAAAGACTCGAAAAACACCAAAATTCACGAAGTTGGCAAAACCCGAGCCCCGGGCCCACTTCTCAAAAGTCAGAAATTTTTACACCAAAATGCTCCTTATCTCGCCACGAGTCTATACATGTAAAAATCACAAGAATCGGAGCTCATTTGCTCCCTCAAATCCCAAATTCTCATTCAAAAACCCAAGCCCTAGTTCTTCCCTTTTTAACCCAATTTTCATGAATTTAAGTGTTGAAATCACAATAAAAATGACGTTTCTAGGCCATAGGACTTACCTCCAATCGATTCCCAGTCAAAACCCTCTTAATTGCTCGCCAAATACTCCCAAGGTCGCTTAACAATGGTGGAAAATACCCCCAACTCGCGGATGAAATGTTTTTTAAACATTCTGCCCCAGCTATAGTGTTTTCGCAATTCTCAGCAAATCCTAAGGCAATTCCCAAGCTGCAGTGTTTTCGCAATTCCCAGCAAATCCTTCGCAATTCCCAAGCTACAGTGTTTTCGCAATTCCCAGCAAATCCTTCACAATTCCCAAGCTACAGTGTTTTCGCAATTCCCAGAAAATCGTTCGCAATTCCCAAGCTACAGTGTTACACTAGAACCAGCAATATCAAACTTCTCCAAAATGATCCGAAACTCACCCGAGGCCCCCAGGACCTCAACCAAAAACACCAACACATCCTAAAACATCATCCAAACTTGTTCCAATTATCAAAACACTTCAAACAACACCAAAATCATCAATTTACATCGAATTCAAGCCTAAGTTCTTCTAAATCTTTCAAAACACGCATTCGATCAAAAACCCAACCAAAACACCTCCGAATGACCTGAAATTTTGCACACATATCCAAAATTACCTAACGGAGTTACTGCAACTCTCGGAATTCCATTCCGACCCTCGGATCAAAATCTCACCTATCCACCGGAATTCGCCAAAATGCCAACTTTGCCAATTCAAGCCTAATCCTACTCCGGACCTCCAAAATCACTTTCGATCGCACTCCTAAGTCACAAATCACCTTCCGAAGCTAACCGAATCACCGGAATTCGCATCCGAGCCTTCTAACTAATAAGCCAACGTTCGGTTGACTTTTTCCAAACCAAACCTTCCTTAAAGAGACTAAGTGTCTCATTTCCTATCCAAACCAATTCAATTCAACTCTAACTCACCCGTTGCTGATAATAAAACATGAAAGAGCAATAAATGGGGAAACGGGGCTGTAATACATGAGACGACGGGTTGGGTCGTCACAAAAAATAAATGAGAGACTCATGTTATAATCATAAATTTGAGTTATGTAAATGAATATAGATAAAAACTCCCTCAAAAATCGCCTCTTCCCGAGCTCCAAAACCTTGTGAGATAAAATGACTAAATTTTGAAACAAGTAAAAAAAAGAGTTAATACCCTAAAATCCCCCTAAACTATTATATTTTTGTCAGTTTTCTACTTAAACTATTCAGTGTCCCAAAAATCCCCTTGAACTATATTTCCCTTCATATTAAAAATACCTCATTGCATTCTTAGAGGTGCGTGTAGTACACGCTCCTAATTATTTAAAAAACATGCCATGTAGCACTACACGTGGCTATTCAACTCAGCCTAAAACCCGCCTAAACTATCACCATTTGTCAGTTACCTACTTAAACTATCTGGTGTCCCCAAAGCTTCCCCCCCCCCCCCCCGAACTATATTTCCCTGTATATTAAAACTCCATGTTGCGTCTGTCTAACTATATTAACTTGTGGTTTTTAAAGTGTTTTTTTATACAATTTACCCATGATGTATTACTCTGGGATGATTGATTAATTTTATGAGTTTTGGCCAAAATAATATTAATGCACTGTGTTAATTTTAGGTTTAGTTGAGATTGTGAATTATGTTAAACTCCAATTGAATAAGTCATTTATATTCATTTTGTAGCACAGAAAAATACAAATAAAGGCATATAGTGTTTCATAAAAATAATCTTATATTACATAAAAAAGATTACACAAAATAAAATTTCGCAAATAAAAATTTAATTGGCCAACTACATTCTGTAATTTCAAATTACGTAAAGAAGGTTTAAGAGATTCAACTTTATTCTTTGCATGGTGTNATGTTAAACTCCAATTGAATAAGTCATTTATATTCATTTTGTAGCACAGAAAAATACAAATAAAGGCATATAGTGTTTCATAAAAATAATCTTATATTACATAAAAAAGATTACACAAAATAAAATTTCGCAAATAAAAATTTAATTAGCCAACAAATACAATTACATTCTCTAATTCCAGATTACATAAAGAAGGTTCAAGATATTCAACTTTATTCTCTACAAGGTGTTGAGTTTAATAAGAATATTTAAATTGGTATTCTTTCAACAATATGTGCAAGAAATGAAAGAAGACTAAAACAAAAATGAAAATAAATCATTTCAGAGGAAACAAGAGAGGGAGAAATTTTTTCAGAGGAAACCCATATGGCGAACTGAAGAAAAAAGGTTCAAAAATGAAGAAGAAATGTAAAAAAAAAATGAAAAAATGGTTAAAAAATGAGGACGAAAGGTGGATATAACTGAAATATGGTGAATATTTATTAAAAAGAATAAATGTGAAAGAGGGTTAGGCTAATTAGCCATTATTTTCTGTTATATGAGCCAATTTGGATGGCTTTTTTTAGTTGTCACGCGCTCTCAAGCGAGTGTTTGCTCACGTTAGGCCAGGTCAGCGACAAGGGGGTTTTAATACGAAGGACAATATAATTCAGGGAGTTTTTACACTGAATAGTTTAAGTAGGAAACTAACAAAAATGTTATAGTTTAAGGGGGTTTTAGGGTATTAACTCTAAAAAAAAATGAGTAGCTGGCCCAGCCCGAATGAGATCCTAGATGATTCCAAAACTCACATCTGATAAGCCCAAAATAATCCTTGCGAGATTACACCCAAGATAGCCTTTTGAATCTCCCAATTTGTCCTTAAAATGAGGGAGATATGATGTCTTGAAGTGTTAAAAGGATGTCTGAAAATGTGAGGGACATAACCGATATTTTCGGAATTGTTACATCAGAAAAATTAGCAATCACAAAATCTTCGTTTTAGCACCAAAAACTCATTCGGAACCTCCCGAACACATACCATATATAACTAATATTAGTTAGTTTAGATTCAAATACTTTTGGCTTTAATCCTTGTTTAGATAATTAGGATAGTCTAGTTTTGTTAATACATAGTAGTTAATAACAAGTCTTCGTGGGTTCGTTATCCGACATTCTAGTCACTTTATTATTTCACGACCGCGTATACTTGCGTGTGCGTTTGGCCGCAATAATAATTATATCCCCCTTGTTGTGTTGGAGTGAACTCTAAAATAACAGTGACATAAGAGAGATGGGGGTTGGGGTGGTCATCAAGAAGAACTTAATTTCCAGAAGCAATTCTCCTGCTAACATATATAGTAAAGCACTCCATCACAGGTTGGGGTGGCAAAATGGTTAAAAGAAAATAGTTAATCACCCATATTATCCACTAAAAAATGGGCTGGATAATGAACTTTTTGAAAACGGGTCAAATATGGATAAGAACCATATTATCCATTTAGAAAATGGATGACCAATGAGTAACCAATGGATAACCAAAGGTCTAACTTTTACATTTGTAAAGCCTCAAATTGGGGGTTCCTCAAGTTAGGGAGACTAAGAATTCTCCCAAAAGTGATCATATACAAGAAGTCATGTCGCATAATTGATCTACTTTTTCATTATCCGTTTTCGACCCGAACCATATCCGACCCGACCCGCCCGTTTGCCACTCCTAATCAGAGGCATGCTACGGGATACGAAGCTTGATGACAAGAGCTCAGATCTGAATTTTGATTATAACGACATAAAATTAGACGTTGTATAAAATTAGAAATGCTATAAAAAAAAATAAAAAACACGCATAATTGGCTGCATCGAAGAACATGGTACTTCATTGCATTATCATATTGAGAAGTTGCTTCTTTTTAGTTCTAATAATTAACTTGAATACAAATTTCTTTGATAAGAATGCGGAGATGTTAATCTACTTCATATGGCACACAGCTATATGATAATATTACCTTATTGGAAAAGCAACTTCATCTTGCAGTAAGTCGTGATGTATAAGATCATCAAAGTACGTATGAAGATTATTGAATAATTAAGAAAGATAAAATGAGCTCTTTCCTTAGTAAGTCTGTTCCACCATTAAATCAACGAGCGCAAATGTCAATTTTCTAAGCATAATTGTGATTTGAGCACATAGTTTGACGGAAAAAGAGAGAATTACTGAAACCAATTCTTCCTCTAGAAAGATCAAATTCCACGAGGTTGTCCTGCATTTGATATCCACCAATGACAATTGCTTGTCCCAATGCTTGGTCTCGTTCAACAAAGGCTAGGCATATGACTTTCTCGGTAACTTTTACTAACGAATTCGCTCCAGTAATTGTCCAATACACATTTGGCTTGTGCAAGACGAGATTAATTTCTGGAGCATTGTAACCTAACCGTGACATACCAATATACGTCGAGTCAAAACAAGTTTTAAAGGGTTGCACTGGGGAGACTGTTTTCACCTCTTCTGGCATCTCGTTAACGAAAGGTTTACTTACAGCACTATAAACGGAAGCCTCCAATACAGTGTAAGGAACGGCAGTGCTGATTTTCGTCCCTCCTTCTTCATTATTTTCATCCAACGAGAGCAATGTTTTATTTAGGGGCAAAGTTTTTCCATTAATTCTAATGGATGAAACTTGAATATAATACTCTGATGAGGCCCGATTGATGCGTGTATAATGTGGGTAGGTAATGGCAATATAACGTGGGAGGGTAACGATAGGTGTATAGATAAGATCTTGTGATGCGTCAAAGGCAAGGCTGAAGTAATAAGGGCTATGTCCAATGAAAATTACACCATTTCGTTCAGTTGATGAACTCAAGCAAATGGCAAACTTTCTGCTGAATCTAAAAGCTGATGCAAATTGAGTAGCAAATGATACTGGAGTCTGCTGCCCGAAACCAACCATTCCCTTCACATGTTTACCAAGATTTTGGGTTAAATTGGTAGTCGAACAGCTGAAGATAAACCTTGGCACAGTTGCAACAGGACCTGGAATGGATCCACTAATGGATTGGATGGACAAAACATCCTCGGCAATTTCACCGTTACTGGACATAAAATCCATAGATGGATTTCCAACAAGGTTATAGCATGCGGCGTTGTTACAACCTGGTCGTGTACTATTTTCGAAACAATATCCACATGCGGTTGACCTAGCTAGATTACATTGCCTTGAATTGCAACGAGCTGGCTTGTATGTAGAGCTTTTGTAGCCTTGTTCACAATCCACCCATAGGCTTTCGCCGCCAAGATGGACGGCTAGTTTAAGGGGGACAAGAGGTGTTCTTTGGTGAACTTTAGTGATGTATTGTAGAGTGGAAGGGTCTTTCTTAACTGCAAGGAATAAAGTCTTAGGATGAAAAGTGGTTTGAGCTACACAAGTTGATATGGCGAGAAAGAAACACAACTGAAAGAGATGCAGGTAGCTGGAGGACGACATTGGAATTTCAATGAGTTTAGTAAAAAGGAAGAATCATTTAAGAAAAAGCTCGTGTGAGATATTATGGATATATCTTAAGGGATGTATTTATAGCTAAAGGATGTAATTTTGAAAATCTTTGCTAATCCGTTGAATAAGCGTGATTCTTAATGCTCAATAAACAAAGAGGTTTCTTCATATGAAATTAACCCTTTGTATATATATACGTATATAATTAGTTTTTCGTAGTTTTACTTCCTTCATGAACATATTGCTTTCAGTCCCATCAAGTTTATAACGTACTCTGCTAATGCCAGTTTGCATTTCCTTATGGATAGCTGCCTCTCTTTCTCGTTAATTAATTATCATTAAGCTTGCTGCCCAACAAAGCCGGGTGGGATGCAGATTATTAATTTTATTGATTTATCCAGACTCAGACATTTTGACTTAAACCATATAAATGTGATAAATACAAATAATTGATCTCGAACACAGTAAATAGATGAATTTTAGTAGAATTTCATCTTCCAATAAATAAAATTAAAATCCTAAATCTAGGGCTGTCAAATTTGGCCCAAGCCCAAATGACCCGCCCAACCCGTCCAAGGTTGGGTTGGTTATTGACCCGCCCATTTATTGAACTTAGCCCATCTTAACCCAACCCATCTCAACCCATTTAAAGTTGGGCTAATTTTTAGCCCAAATTGATCCATGAATAAGTTTGTCAAAATATCTTAGAAATAATTTTATTTTTTGTTTAATATTTTAAATATGACCATAACAAAAGCAAAAAAGCCTTATTTAGTAATTATACAATTTATAAGAAAATAACACATATTAATTAAAGTTTAATAAGAGTTAGGCGGGTTGGGTTATGACCCGAATTTTAACCCATCTTGACCCAACCCATCTTAGCCCAAGTAACTTTTGGGCGGGTCATTTGACCCGTCCAGTTATTGACTCAACCCATTTTAACCCGCCCAAAATTGACCCAACCCGCCCATTTGACACCCCTACCTAAATCCATCTCTGCAACAAAGAAGGTCACGATTAATTGTCGCCGAGACCTTTCTCCCTTGTGATCCGTATCATTGGATCAGCTCCAAATGGTTACCTAGCTAGAATTTTTTTTGGTCGGTATAATAGATAAGTAATAAGCATAGTGTTCATTACAAAATAAGCAGATGCTGACTATTTACAACCTCGAAAAATAACTATATATCAGGTTGCAAACAACCTGAAGAACTATACTACAGAAGTCAGAAACATTCAAAAGGAAAACGGGTGAAAATCATTTACCCTCCCCAACTTTGTGTTAAAAATCAAACTCCCCCCTCAAATTTGAACAATAATCATTCTCCCCCCTTCATCCTACACAATACCTTTTTTGCCCTTAAATTTTCAATTTCCTCCTCAATTCAATACTTTTTTATTATATGATTTTTTTATGGTTTTAGCTATAACTTAAATTATGTAATATCTATTATAAATTGTAATTAGAGTTCATTAAAATTATAAGTAGAATAAGTAAGAGTACATTAAAATTACCTTATCTTTATGATTGTTATTCAATGTAATGCATATTAAATATATATTTAAGTTATATTTTCTTAGCGACGGAGCTAGGAATTCATATTAGAGGATTGAAAAACACCCCAATTTTTTTTTTTTTTATTTCGGATTGAACTTGTGAGCTAAGAAATTAAAATTTGTGAGCTAAGAGAATAGAGTTCATTAATTTCTTAACTCACAAGTTCAATCCGAGTTTTCATATAAGAGGATTGAAAAACACCCCAAGTTATCTTAGCTCACAAGTTCAATCCGGAAAAAAAAAGTTGGGGTGTTTTTCAATCCTCTTATATGAATTTCTAGCTCCGTCGCTAAGAAAATATAGCTTAAATATATATTTAATATGCATTACATTAAAATAACAATCATAAAGATAAGTTTTAATTGACTCTAATTACTTATTCTACTTATAATTTTAATGAACTCTAATTACAATTTATAATAGGTATTACATAATTTAAGTTATAGCTAAAACCATTAAAAAAAATATCATATAATAAAAAAGTATTGAATTGAGGAGGAAATTAAAAATTCAAGGGCAAAAAAGGTATTGTGTAGGATAAGGAGAATGATTATTGTTCAAAGTTGAGGGGGGAGTTTGATTTTTAACACAAAATTGGGGAGGGTAAATGATTTTCACCCAAAGGAAAACTAAGGAAAAGAATTTATTGGTATAAGAGCCTACTTCCATTAGGGAATTCTGTTGCGATATGCATGTAAATGCAAAACCATTTTTCTGCACCCTTTGCTCTCTTGAAATATACCATTCTGGAATCTGAGCATGTTTCTTTCTCTCCGTATCAAGTAGACTAGCTTAACAAAGTTATAACTAGCAATATAGCATATGCCAACCTTCTTTCTTGCCGTACCGCGAGCCCACTGTACCTCAGCTTGACAATCATATATTGGTCAATGAAATCCCAACCAGGACAGATGCTTACTCCATATTTTTTATGTCACATGACAATAGAAAATAGATGTTAAAATGTTTCATCAGTCAAGTCACAGAAGGCACGTGTTTGAGGCATCTAGATATAAACTTCTGCAACCTATCAATCGCACCATGTCTTCCTTGAACAACTAGCCAGGGAATAAATTTCAACATTGGATAGAGTTTGGAATGCAGAGCGATACTCTTCCAAGGACCTTTTTTATGTTGAGGTGTTTGCAGCTGATAAAAAATTTTAATTGAAAATTTTCTACCTCTTTTGTATACGGTCAAGATCGTATGCTTTCGATCTATATGCTCGAGGAGTCGTCTTAAGCCGAGTTCGAGCACGGTCGAATTCGAGCCCAGGGGATCAGATTCGAGCTCGAAGATAGGATGCGATGCCCGAGGATCGAAGTCCGAGGAATACCGAAGCCGAGTATGCTCGACCCCGAATAATGCCGTTATGAATTTGTAACAGAATGGGCAAGATTCCTGCCACGTCCCCAAGATCATGGCGCAAATCCCGAAGTAGGATTGTACGATTCCGTACTAGGCGGTTAGACAGCTGTACCAATAATATTCCTTACTGTAAATAGAAATGTACCTTATTTAGGGTTCCCCTATTATATAAAAGGGACTCCAATCATTTGTAAAGATCATCTAATCATTAGCAAAGAATATACTCCCTACTTTTCATTTACTGTTCATCATAATTGTCCATTCTCTTTATTGTTCTTACTTTATTGTTCTTGGTTCATCTCGAGGTCACCAAGCTCGAGGTCGATACTGCTAAGTAATACTGGTTTGATTCACTTATTTCTTTCATTTCTACTTCATACTTCTTGATTATTAATTGATTTTGAACTAAATCACATATCTTTAAAATCACAAATCAAATTTAATTGTTACTCGTATTTTCGAGGTAAACAGTTTAGCGCCCACCGTGGGGCTAAAGATAATAGTGATTGTTTCATTACTGATTCTCATTACACACGTTATTTTTACACTTTTTCTTGTCAATATTTTCTGATTCTAAGGATTAAACATGTCAAACTCGCAAAATGCACCTGTTCATGACAACGAAGGTCTTGGATCTCATGGGGAAAACGACAATGTAGGGGTCGGTGTACCACCGATAAACCCAGGGGAAGTGCCAAATGTGGAACCAGTTGATGTTAGTTCGCACATTGATTTGAATGCAGATCTAGGCGCGGACCCTGCATGGAGTATACACAGGGAAGCCCGATCTAGAGGCCAAGGAACACCAGGAATATGAGATGGGGGAGTCAGCCTCCAAGTGACATTCGAGATGCTGCAAGCTCAGCAGATCGCTATCGCTCAACTTCAAGGCCAGAATAAAACTCTAAGTATAGCTGAACCAGTAAACATTCGATGTACTGAACCAGCGCCAGAGAGGTCAAATGAAAATGGCTCGGGGACTGACCCTACGATTATGAGGATGCTCGAAGAGCTCACTAAGAGGATCGAGTCCAGAGAAAAGAAGATTGGGGATAATGACAAGAAGGTGGAAACTTATAATTCCCGCGTTGACCAGATACTAGGTGCACCTCCAGTCATGAAAGATTTAGACGCCAAAAAGTTCATACAAAAACCATTCCCTCAGAGCGTGGCTCCGATGCCCATTTCCCAAAAAGTTTTGCATGCCCGATATACCCAAGTATAACGGGACAACTGACCCTAACGAGCATATTACTTCATACACTTGCGGGATCAAAGGAAATGACTTGAATGACGATGAGATCGAATCAGTCTTGTTGAAAAAAGTTTGGAGAAACATTATCGAAAGGAGCTATGATTTGGTATCACAACTTACCTCCTAACTCTATTGTTTCGTTTGCTATGTTAGAAGATGCCTTCGTGAAAGCACACGTCGGGTCCATAAAGGTGTCCACGAGAAAATCGGACGTCTTCAAGATACAACAGAGGAACAACGGAATGTTGAAGGAGTTCGTATCCAGGTTTCAGATGGAACGAATGGAATTACCACCGGTCTCCGATGACTGGGCAGTACAAGCTTTTATGCTGGGTTTGAATGAAAAGAGCTCGATTGCGTCTCGACAATTAAAGCATAATCTAATCGAGTATCCAGCTGTGATGGGGTCAGATGTGCATAACCGTCATCAATCAAAAATCAGGGTCGAGGACGACCAGTTGGGAGCCCCCTCGGGTTCAGTTCATCCTAATAGACTGGCAGCCAAGCCTCCGAAGGATACGGACAGGGAATCTAGGTCGAACAAAGAACGGTATCAGCCGTATGTTGATCGGAGAAACAATGGTTCGGGGCGTAACACTCCTTGGAATGATCGGAGAAAGATCGAGGTCAAAGCTCTCGGGGACTCATGAGTAAGAGTGGATTCGATAAGCATATCGATCCCGAAGAGGCACCTCGATTGTCGGAGTACAACTTCAGCATAGATGCATCAGAGATTGTGTCCGCTACTGGAAGAATCAAAGACACCAAGTGCCCCAGGCCTATACAAACCGATCCTTCTCAGAGGAATCCAAACCTGATGTGCCAGTATCATGGCACACATAGCCATAAGACCGAAAACTGCAGGTAACTAAGGGAGGAGATAGCTCGGTTGTTCAACGAGGGTCACCTTCGAGAATTCCTAAGTGATTGACCTAAGAATCACTTCAAGGAGAGAGATGCAAGAAAAAATGAGCAAGAAGAACCTCAACATCGAATCCACATGCTCAAGGACCTGTGTTGAAAAGAACTAAGGTATCGATCATCAGAGAAAAGCGGACTCGGAGCTATGTGCCCGAGGATGCCTTAACATTATATGACGAAGAAGCAGAAGGCATATCTCAACCACACAACGACGCCCTGGTAATTTCTATCCTTTTAAATAAAATTCAAGTTAAACGTGTATTAGTTGATCCAGGTAGCTCAGCAAACGTAATCAGATCGAGGGTCGTAGAATAGCTCGACCTACAGGATCAGATTGTACCTGCATCCCCTGTCGTAAATAGCTTTAACATGGCAAGTGAAACGACAAAGGGGGAGATAATAATGCCGGTAAACGTAGCCAGGACAATACAAGATACAAAATTCCATGTCATCGAAGGTGACATGAGGTACAATGCACTCCTAAGGAGACCATGGAGACACAACATGAGGGTGGTACCTTCAACTCTTCAACAGATGATGAAGTTCCCGATGAAGGATGGTGTGAAAACGGTCTACGGAGAGCAACACGCTGCCAAAGAGATGTTTGGAGTCGATGAAGTGACGCCGATACCAGATCCTTCAACAAGTTTGACTTGGGATTAGAGGAATAAGTATATCGATAATTTGCGAAATAGAAAACTCCCGTCGGACCATAGAGAATCGATGGCCCTACAAACCAAGGCTGCTAGGTTTGCATTGGATGAAGATGGAACATTGTACCGGAGAACATTCGATGGGCCATTAGGGGTATTTTTAGGGCCGGGGGACACCGATTATGTTGTACGAGAAGTCCACGAAGGCACTTGTAGGAATCACTACGGCGCCGAGTCTTTGATTCGCAAAATTATCAAAGCAGGGTATTACTGGGATAGCATGGAAAAAGATACTAAGGAATTTGTCAAAAAATATGATAAGTGCCAACGATTTGCACCAATGATCCATCGGCCCGAAGAACAACTCCACTAGGTCCTATCCCCATGGCCTTTCACGAAATGGGGAATGGACATTTTTGTTTATGACTGATTGTTTTTCTAAATAGGTGGAAGCACAGGCCTTCAAGAAGGTCAGAGAAAAAGAAGTTATTGACTTCATCTGGGACCATATCATATGCCGGTTCGGGATACCTGCCGATATTGTATGTGACAATGGAAAACAATTCATCGGCAGCAAGGTAATGCAGTTCCTCGAAGCACACAAAATAAGAGGATCTTATCCACGCCGTACCACCCAACTGGAAATGGACAGGCCGAGTCAACAAACAAAACTATCATTCAAAATCTGAAGAAAAGGTTGGACGATGCAATGGGGAAATGAGAGAAGTTCTACCCGAGGTCCTTTGGGCATATCGAACAACATCAAAGTCTAGCACGGGAGCTGCTCTGTTCTCTTTAGTATATGGCTCCATGTCCCTCATCCCTGTCGAGGTCGGAGAACCCAGCACCAAGTTTCAACATGCATCAGAGGAGTCGAATCACGAGGCTATGCATACTAGCCTCGAGCTATTAGATGAACAACGAGAAGCATCACTTGTTCGGATGGCCGCGTAGAAGCAAAGGATCGAAAGATACTACAATAGAAGGACCAACCTTCGACACTTCGGAATCGGGGACTTGGTTCTACGGAAAGTCACCTCAATACTCGAGACCCGAATTAAGGAAAACTGGGCCTGAATTGGGAAAGACCGTACCGAGTCCTCGGAGTTGTCAGTAAAGGATCTTACAAACTTAGCACAATGGAAGGTCAACAACTACCGAACAATTGGAACTTATAATTACTCAAACGATACTATTTCTAAGGTATGAATGTATCTTTCTTGTCCATCTGAATTTGAAACTAACTCATTGCAGGTATTCGATCGAAGCCATCGTAGGCACTTTTTCGAGGAAAATACTTCACGCCTAAGAGGGCCTCGATAGGAGAACTACGTAATGGGTCAAACGGTCACATGAACCGTGTCCATATAGAATAGTCGAGCACTGACGGCAAAACATGTACGCATGTATCAATTATTTGAAGAAGCATTCTGTTTATATAAAAAATAGTTTGTGTCTCAAAGAAGTCTACTATCATGCGAGCTCTACACTTATAAACCTATGGGAAAAGGCTCAAGAGCTAGAGCACGAATGCACCCCCGATATACTCGGGGACTATCATCGATAGTCAGCTCATCCGAGTCATTGAAAACTCGGACTCATAAGACCTCAAAGAGGCATCCCCTCGATACAAAGGCCAAGGCCAACATACTCGGGGACTAACCTTTCGGACAAGTTCGAAAGGTTATCGGGAAAAAAGTCCAAGAGACATACCCGAAGGCTACGACCATATTAAAGACTACGGTCATATAAAAAGGCTACGGCCGAAATATCGGAGATGTCCTACTTCCGCCATAAATTAAAGGCCTTCAAACACTTTAAAAAAAACTGGTAAAAATAGGCTACCCTCGGCAAAAGAAAAATATAAAGGGCTTCGATAAAATCAACCCTCGAATAATTTAGACGTTTCGATAACATCGGCCTTCGAAAAAACCTCAAGAGGTATTTGATTATGTTTACAGAAACAAATTACTAATAAGGTTCCGATCCGTCGAACCTTCGAAAAACCCAACGGGTACAAAAAACACATGCTAAGGCATAGATAAATTTTCACTAAGTATTTTAGCCGAAAAGAGAGAAAAATTACAGCCGCTTTAGACGCCAAATAAGCCCAACTTAAAGAGCCTAAGAGCCAATATAAAAGAGCCTAAGGGCCGATATAAAAGAGCCCAAGGGCCAAAAAATATAGGGTTCGAGACCTTGCTCTCACTCAACTCGGATTCAAGAATCCCACTATCCCGAGCTCACGCCAAATCAACTTAAGCATAGCTCGAAGACTAATAAAAACCTTAAGAGGTATTCTATTCTAGGTTCAAAGATCACACGTTGATGACTAATCTAACGGTTGTTATATTCAAAATTCGAGCCAAGGTTCACTTCGTCATTGAAGTTATCAAATATTTCACAAAATAAAGACAGTACGGAATCGAAGCTGAAGCAAAGAGATCCTATTATATTCATAAGAGGGGCTTACAAGAGATATTTTATAATACCCATGAGGAGTCCTTGCCCAAAAACACAAAAACAAAATTAAGAAACCTAAATCTACTCCGGGGCCACATTTTCGGCAGCTGCATCATCGAGAGCCGCATCTTCGGGAGCCTCCTCCTCGGGGAATTCATTTTCGTCTCCTCCGCTCTCGGAGCCACTGGGTGAATCCTCGTCATCAGAAAGCAAAGCGACAGCCTTTTCTTCCAAAGTCTTTGCCTTTTCAATATCAGCTGAGAGATCGAAGCCGCAAGCATGCACCTCCTTGAGGGTTTCTCTCCGGGATTGTCGCATGGCGTGGTCAAGTGCACATGATAGCTTAACTTCGGCCGCAGCAGAGATCTCCTTTGCATGGGTTTTAGCTGCTTCACTGTCAGCTCGATACGAAGATATAAATGCTTCTGCATTAGATTTGGCCTTGGCAAGCTCAACAGCAGATTTAGCTTCATGCTCCTCGATTTTCCGACTTCGAGCCAGGCTCTCCCCCTTCACACTTTGTAGACGGCATTCGATTGAAGCCAGCTGCTCCCAAAGAGTATCTTTCTCCGAGGCGAGACAGTCCTGCCTTGCCTCCACCCTATGGTCTCGACCTCCTTCATCTTGAGCTCCTCTCAGAGCTGCTCCACCAGCTCGCCCTTTTTTTGAGCCTACAAAGTTGGAATGTTAGCCGATCAATTAGGCAAATGCATAATAAAACCTCAAAGGGTATATTACCTTTTCGATAAGCTTGGTCTATTCTTAACGATCCTTTGCAAGTTCGGCTCGAAGATCGCTGATCTCCTCCTCTTTCTTGACATAGAGGGTTTTAAAGCCGTCCCTCTTGTCGCGCCCCATTTTTCCCTCTTTGCATCAGAAAATCGGGTTTATGACATTTTGGGTATAGGACAACTCATTCCTTTCGGGAACTGGGTTTTGCATTTGAAGAGTCGCCACCTAATGATTAAACGTGCATTAGGACACCTATAAGGTTCACTTCTAAGTTTGTTTGATAACCAGAGATAGGGTAAGGGCTTGAAATTATCTCGAGGGGAAGGTGTTAGGCACCCCTCAGGATCCACTAGTGTGGTTCCCTGCCAGATAGTTCTTTGTGAATTTGTGCAATTAACAAGTAAACAAATAAGGCTCAAATAAGAGATTTTAATACACAAGTGCTTGGAAGTGATGAAAGTAAAACAGAGTTTGCAAAGCAATCATTAAAGGGCTGATTTTGAAAAGAAGTTACAATTCTATAATATTTAAAGGAAAAGAAAGAGGAGGGGGAGGTCCTAGGTTTATTTGCAATATGAATCACATCAATGCAATACCAGGTAATCAATCCTCGAGAGAGGGGCTACACGTGGTATTAGCGCACCGGTCATCATATCCATATCTACCCTTCCCACCCCGTCGAGGTACTAAAGCGCAGATTGGTCTCGACCACTATTACATGCTATTACCCGTCCCACTCCTATCAGTCCCGGAGGCACATAGGACTACTATTCCTAAAGGGGAGGGATATTAGGCTGAATTGAGGTTTCAAAAGGTGAAAAAGCTAGGGCGGCATACAAAACACATAGGACTGCACATTAAGGGGGAACATGTAAACACCCAAAAAGGCTCATGTATACCTCCTCAAGCAAAGCACATAAATACCATGACATAAACACAATCAAGGCCAGAATTTAAAGTACTAATATAGGGGAGTTTCAGTTGTTGAAGCGGACCAATTTATTACATAACTCAGATAAGAAGTCCGAATCAGATCAGGCCTCCCTGCTAGTTGTAGCAATTACTAAATAACAAAGGCGGATTCAGTTTTATTTTTTTTATCACCCAAGGCTTGCCTAGGTGTTTGGGTGAGATCCTATAAACACGATATCTATTACAATTCAGAATGGGGCAAAGCAGTAACAAATTCTAGAATAAACGATTTAAGATCCTATAAACATGCTTTCTAAACCGTATTAATAGGAAAGGAGAGAGTCGTTGAAAATTAGTTCAGAACAGTGAGAGTTAGGCTGATTTTAGACTAGACTCATTTTAGACGATGACATCTATTATTGCTGATTTTAAATCTTATAGACATTATATCTATTATTGCTGATTTTAATTTTTATAGACATGATATTAATGCCGGATTATAATCATTAAGATCCTAAGAACATGGTGTCTAAGTGTAGTAATAAACATGCAGAACTTAAGAGAAATCCTATAGGCATGTTGTCTAAATGAAGAATTTAAACCAGGTCCTATAGACAGGTTCTCTAAATGCAGAGTTAAACATGCAAACTCTAAAGACAAGTCCTGTAGGCATATTATCTAAATACTGAGTAAATCATAACAAAAGGTCCTAAAGGCATGATCTCTACCCTTCTAATAGTTAAGCATGCACAATTACCTAGCCCTTTTTCACTAACCAACCCCAAATATTTATTACAAATTATTACAGACCAATATAATGAATTACATCAAAAAAAATGTAAAAGAAAAGTTACAACCATAGGAAGCCTGATTCTGACTTCCTTTCTGAGTTATGGAACAAAACACCTCAAATGCCAACTTGTTTCAAAGCCTTTCTCAGACCTGGGTGTGTCAATGTTCCCTAAAGGTCTCAAGGGACTCCAGGCAGTACTTACACCCAAGTTTGCATAACCAGATAGAGATGAGTGCAGTGTGGGAGGGCCAACCCTTATGTGTCCAAGTTCAGATGGAGCTCATGGGTCCCAAGGCAAGGCTCACACAAGAGGGGCAGAACCTAAGTCAACGAATATAGTGGAAGTGCGGGAATAGAGATTTAAAACTGAGTGGAGAATAGAGAGGGGTAAGGGTGATTGGAAAATAGTAGTAGTACAACTAACATTACACAAAATCAGCACTTTCATACAAAGGGGTCAGGGGTTTGGGAATTCATTGCAGGGAGTATAAGACCTTAGGAAGGGGCCAGGTTGGGCATGTACAACAATAGATGGTGCTGGCATGCCCATATACCAGCCTAAGAACACAACACATTGAGGGGATATGAAGCATATGACCCTAAGGAGTGGTCAGGTTTGGGGTCGTGCACAGCAATGTCTAATGCTGACATGCCCCCAAACCAACCAAGGAATACAAACACATAGGGGATATGGGGGTTTGTTGTTCATAAGTCATAATAAGTGACTGACAGAGTTCGTACATAAGAAAAGTAGTAATTCAGGAGAGAAAGGGGCAGATTACAGTATGCTCAGTAATGGAACTCGATTAAACACAAGCAGGAAACAGGCAAGAGTGAGGGAAATAGTAAGGAAACATGTTGTTGTTGTTGATGATGGAAAATTAATTAGAACATACCACTAAAAGAAGCAAATGTAGAAAGAAAAGTAAGCAAATTCCCCAGAGCCTAGCCTTGGCTTTCAGCCGGCTAGACAAGGCAGCAACACAAGTAGTAACAGAGAAAAGCGAGAGAGTTTTTAGTGAGGTGCGTGTTCTAAACTCATGTGTTTCATTCCTTGTGTTCGTGCGTTTGAAAGAAGAGGGATGCAGGGTATTCATAGCCTTTTTGAAAACGAGTGAAGGAAGGTAATAAGTAAAGTTTTAATACAAATATAGAAACAATCTCCAGGCAGAATCAATTACCCAAGTGACTCCCTTTAATTAAGGAATCACTGTTTAACGGGTAGTAACAGATTCAAATAAGGAAAGAGATCAATTTAGAGACAGACTGATTATTGCCATAAAAGCTGTAGTAAAAACATTAAGTAAGCAATCAAGTCAAAGTACATAAATATGCTTATGGAAATAGATTCAGCAAGGTAAATATTACAATAATGGGAAAATAATCAATCAATTTTGAACGGGCGAGTGAAATCAGGGTTCATAAAAAGGGAAACTTTAGAAATCAGACACAAGATGAAGATCAATCAAGGAAGAAACTTCAGCATATAAATAAAGTGAACAAGGTCATCAGACATGCGAGGCCAAGCACATTGGCAAAAGAGATAATCACAAGCATGCAGTAGTGGCAGAAATAAGCCAGGGTTCAGTAGTAGAGCAAACTTTCGAAGCATAGTAATCAAGTCGGTCAAGTCACATTGAATCAATAGTGCAGAAAACAGAGTATCAGATACATGCAAAGGTCTCACAGTAGCAGGTGAGGAAAACTTTTGAAAAGTTAGCGTTTTATCCATAGTCGAGTTGAAAGATAGTAAAATCAGATAAGTCACATAAAGAAAAGAAAGTCTAAAATAAATGCTTTCTGTCGAGTAAAGTACTCAAACAAATGATTTCAGACCCAAAGACCTAGGGCTTTTCAACAACAATCGAGTTTTAAAAAAAATGATAACACAATAAGTCAAACAAGAACAAGGAACTTAGTTACACAAGTACACATTAAACAAACAGCTTCAGGATTCGAATGAGACCCAAAAGAAATTAGGGTTTTAACATGCGAACTCAGATAGAAGAATAATATGAAGAAAACCATAACAAAATCAGAAATACGTTAAAATCAGAGATCTTTGAAAGAAAATTTAGAGGAAAAACCCTAATCGGAGAAGATGAATGGTCGTTTTTGAAGGAAAGTTAAAGAACCTTCGAGAAACACTTAAGAAAGTCATAGCGAGTACAGATCTAAAGCAGATCTGAATGAAATAGAAAGATCATAGAGATTAGGGTTTCAGAAAACCCAAAAGAAATGAGAAAGGCCTTGAAAGTTACCGATCTAACCAGGAGAGTCAAGGATCTGACTCGAATGGCCATGGCTGGCCGGAGAAAGGTCAGGGATGACGGGAGAAAGGTCATCGAGCAAGGACTGGACCAATTCCTTTCGAGGTCTGGTCATGAAACCATAGAATCAAACACATAGGAGCCATGGAAGGCTGGTACAAGCCTCAAATGACCATGGAAGGCCATAGATTAGGTAGGTAATAGGGTGGATTAGGGTGGCGGCGGCTAGGGTTTAGGTGGTGTTGTAGAGAGGGATTTGAGAGGAAGGGGGTTCAAGGGCGGCGGTAGGTGAGAAATGATAGGGTTTTGGGGTCGTTTGGGATTAGTTAAGGTAAGGGGGAACGGGAGTCGTTGATCTAAATGATCAACGGCTGGGATTGAAATGGTTAGGTGGGAGACCGGGTTGGGTTGTTTAAACGGGTAAGGGGACGGATTTAAAAGGAATTGGGCCGAGGGAAATTGGGTTCAAATTGGGGTCAATTTTGGGCTATAATTGAAATGTAACCGGGCTATCATTTAAATAGCCAATTTTCCCCTATTAAAATTATCTAAAATAGTAAACTGATTTCTGGAAATAAAATAAAAGTACTAAAATGATTTATGACATATAATTAACCATTTAAAAATACTGGACTTAATTTTTATGAATATAAACGCAATTAAATCCTAAAAGAGGCTAACAAATGAGACTTCATGGGGTCTTTCCAGACAGGCGGCACTATTCCTGTATGGTGGATCTTCTGGGCCAGGCAGGTTTAGTCACCAAGGCAGAAGAGTTGGTAAACCACGCATCATCGACAGGA